TGAAAGTTGGAAGGAGCATTTACTAATAGTTCAGTTTTAAAGAAATGGAAGTGATATTTTAATTTGTTAGTTAAACTGAATTTATCATTAAAATTTTCATTTTCTAAATCTTATGCAATAAAAAGTAGAACGAATTTTACTTTTAATCATACATATATTTTATTATTGAATCATTTCAAATGTTATTTGTTGTTTCATTTTATACTGTCAATCATTTTGAATTTTCATACACAAATATTCGTGTTTCTGTTTCATTTCATGTTTCATATAGTATTCTTCTGTATTTTTTGTTTAAGTATGATTTTGTTTTTTGATTTAAAAATTTGCAAAATTTTTAATTTATCATTTATCTGCAAGAATTAATTTAATTATGCCCATGTTGTACCATTATTGCAACCTGTTGATTAGCTCATTGATGATTTGAACACGCATTTTAAAAATTAGCTCATTTCTCTTATTAGATATTTCAACATGTTTTATTATTTAAATGGCGCTGTATTTATATTGCATTCTGCTTTTTTTATACTTGTTGAAATGATTTCATATAAAACTGATGAATGCTAATAGAGTTTTAAACAAAAACACACACACACACACATACATTCACGAATAAAATTTGAAATAATTTTTCATAAAGCTCAACTGTGAAATTTTAGAATTCTATTTTGAAATACCCATTAAAATTATATTTTAACCAATATTCAATCAATAATTTATATTTTCAACCAATATTCAGTCAATAATCCATAATTCACAAATTTTTTGATCAATGAAGAATATAAAAACGATATGAATTATTAAAAAGTAAATATGGTAGGAGAAGATGAAATAAGGAAATTTGTTCCTTTCGAAAATTCTGGTAAAATGATCGAAAAACTGAATCATTTCCTCCAATTTAGATCAAAATTATAATGCTGCTTTATTCAGGCGGTAAAATACCACAAAGCGCTAAAATTTTCACTTTATCATCGTGTATTGTGATAATTGTTGATAAGATGGTTCACTTATATTGCTCTGTTCGATAGCATCAAATATCTCTTTTTTTTTCAATTAATTACAGCACTAACTTTGAGATTTCTTTGAGAATAACTTTGAGAAATTGAGATTTCGCTGAAATTCTTTTTTTTTTGACAAAAGATCGATCAATTTTTGAAATGCCAATTTCTTTCATGCATTAAGAAGCATTCTTTTTAAGAAATTAGTCTCTCCTTTTTTTTTCATTTTTCTTTTTTCTCAAATATCTGTCAGGTATGAATGTTTGTTTAATCTCACTTTTTTTGCATTTTCAAATGAGCAATTTCAGAAATTAATTTGCTCACTAAAACGATGTATTATTATAAAAATAACAGAGATAAGAAAGATAAGAAAGGTAAGAGGGGACGAAAGAGTAAGTTGAGGGATATAAATGATGACATTATGGCGCAAGTGAGTTTTTGTTTTAAATTTTGAAATTTTTAAAAAATACAAAAATATTTTGCAGTTCGTCAAAAAAAAAAAATAAATATTAGAAAAACATTCATTTGGATTAATTTTTTTTTTTTGAACGTTTCAAAATACATTCATTTTAGTTATTCGTTGAGGAAACCGAAGTTGATGAAATGTTCAGTGAATCGAGCGATGATGAAACAGAATCTCAAAAGCATTCTGAATCATCGCAAGCAGTGACGCAATTAGGACTAAAAACAGCAGCGTTTATTTTACAGGAGATGATAATTAATCCGAGCTCCTGTTGTTCCAATCAAAATGTCACGCTTCGTCTCGATGACAAATCCGCTAGTGGAAATGCTTCACGCGAAACTTCAGCCGATAGCCTGAAAGATAGCGGCATTTCGGAAACATGCGAATTGAAAGTAAATTAAAGTGAAATATT